GACTTATCTAGCACCACATATCCTTAATTCCAGTGTAACATCCTTAATTCACATTCATTCACACACGCTAGATCCATCATCAAAAAGTGTCCCCGATGACTACATGAGACTGTGGGGGGACATCTAGATGCAAGTCATACCAGATGCAAAAATCCTCAGTAAGGCACAACAAACAGAATGCAGCAAAGCATCAAAAAGATCTTATGTCATGACTAAATAGAATACATTTCAGGGATATAAGGATGACTTGACACATGCAAATCAATAAATGTACTATACCACATAAATAGAAGCAAGGACAACAATTACATGATCACTTCACTATAGGCAAAAAAAGCATTTGACAAAATCCAACATCCATTCATGATAAAAACCCTGAAAAAATAGGAACAGAAGGTATTTATCTCAACCTAATAAAAGCCATCAATGTCAAACCAGCAGCCAACATCATATTAAACTGAAGCGGAAAACCTTCCCTCTAAAATCAGAAAGAAAAGAAAATATTTTCTATCACCACTGCTGTTCAATGTAGTTCTCAAATTATTATCCGGAACAATTAGACAAGAGAAAGAAATAAAAGGAACATGGGTAGGAAAGGAAGAAGCTGAATTATTATTTACAGATGACGAGATTCTCTATATAAAAGACTCCAAAACTCCACCAAAGGCCTCCTAGAATTAATAACCAAATTTGGTAATATAGCTGGATACAAAATCCACGCTCAAAAATCAATAGTGTTCCTGTATATCAATAACATATTCATTAAGAGAGTCATTAGAGAAACAACACATTTAATAATAGTATCAAAGAAAATGAAATATTTAGAAATTAACTGAACCAAGGAAGTGAAAGAGCTCTACAATGAAAACGACAATATTCTGAAAAAAGATTGAAGAGAATATTAGAAAATGCAAAGATATCCCCTCATTCCTGAACAGGCGGAGCCAATGTAGTCAAACTGGCCATAATCTCAAAAGTGTTATACAGATTTAACACCATCCTAACCAAGATACCACTAGCATTCCTTACAAAACTAGAGAAAACACGTGTAAAAGTCAAAGGGAACCAGAAGAGGCCTAGAACAGAAAAAACAATTCTAGATAACAAGAGCAAGGAGGTATTAGGATCCCAGACTTCAAATTATACTGCAAAGCTGCAGTATAGTACTAGAAACCCACAGATAGACAGACAGACACACCCCCAAAACTAAAAGCAAACAATCCCCCCAAACAAAAAATCAGATATGTGGATTAATGGAACAGAATAGAAGATGCAGAAACAACTCCAGGCACATTAAACTGCCTTATTTTTCACTGTGTTATCTTTAACAAACAGTGCTAAAAAAAACTGGCTCTCCATATGCTAAAGGCTGAGCCTAGACTGAGATCTGTCACCATGCACTAAACTAAAACAAAAGAGATCAAAGATCTAAACATTAGAACAGAAACACTTAATCTGCTGAATGATGTAACATGTAAAATACTCAAAGCCGTATGTGTAAGCAAAGACTTTCTGAGCAGAATTCCAGTTGCACAAGAAATAGTGCCAAGAATCAGTAAATGCAATCCCATCAAATTTAAAAGCTTCTTTTCTTTTTTCTTTCTTTTTTTTTTTTTGAGACAGGGTCTTTCTGTGTCGTTCAGGCTGGTCTTGAACTCACTACATAGCCCAGGCCAGCCTTGAACTCATAGTGATCCTTTTGGCTCAGCCTCTGGTGTGCTGGGATTACAGGTGTGGGCCACCACACTTGGCCTTAAAAAGCTTCTGCACAGTGAAGGAAACCGTCAACAGAGTGAAGAGACAACCTACAGGAAGGAAAAACCTTTTTGCTAGCTACTTGTCAGACAGAGGGCAAATATCTAGAAATATAAATAACTAAAAAATTAAACTCTCCCAAATTTAAGACACAGTCAAACAATGGGTATCTGATATGAACAGACAGTTCTCACCAAAGAAGTACAAATGGTCAAGAAATACATGAAAAAATGTTCAACACTGTGTTCGTCCAGGAAATGCAAATAAAACTACATTGTGATTCCATTTCACTCCAGAAACAATGGCTATCATCAGGAAATCAGTCAGTAACAAACTCTGGCAAGGTTGTGGGGAAGAGAGAGCCTTTCTTCATTGTCGGTGGGAGTATAAACTGATACAATCAGTACATTAAAACAGAAATTCTATTTGACCCTGATATTCTCCATAGGTATCTCCCCCAAAGAGTTAAAGACATCACACCACACTGATGTATGCATACTGTGTTTCTAGTAGCACAGTTAATAATATCTAAATACTGAAAGTGTCCATCAACAGACCAATGGATGAAGGTCTGTATTTATACACAATGGTCTGCCATTAAGAAGGGTAAATGGAGTCATAGGAAAATGGAAGCGCCTTGAGACCATAATGTTAAATGAAGTAAATCAAACAGATAAGCTTGACTATTATACGGTTTCTTTTATATGAGAAAATATATAAAGTGCAATATAAAGTATAAAAGAGACAGTTATTGTAATGTAGCGAGGAAAATATATTAAAAGTGTACCTTGATTTATGTGTTTTTGGTCCCTTAACCTGGTTATTAATGTGTATACATGACAGTTAACTAACTTTCTCTCCCTCTTCCTCTCCCACTGTCTCTCGCTCTTTTCTGGAAGCGTTTTGCTTTGTAGTTCAGCCTGACTGTGAACTCACTATTTAGCCCAGGTTGGCTTCAAAGTCACAGTGATCCTCCTGCCTCAGCCTCCCAAGTGTTAGGACTACAGCATGTACCTCCACATTCAGTGATAATTAACTTTATAATGATTTATAAGGTAAGTAAATGAATCTGGTGACAGCAATAAAAGAAAAGGTGGCCAGGAGGGTGGTGGGGGAGGGAAAGAAGAGAAAAATAGTTGAGATGTGTTATGTACCTGTATCTTTTCCCTACAATGAATGTAATTATTATGTACTAACATGTACTAATAAAAATTTTAGGAAGCCTTTTATATTTATACATATTTTTGCTTCTTGGTATTTTGATATTCATTTACTTTCTCTTTAAAGAGCTCTAGTACTCATTCTTCTAGGGCAGATCTGGCAACAAATTCCTAGTTTCCCTTCATCTGAGAATCTTGACATTATCTCCATGTTTGAAGGATATTTTTATACTTCCTCTCAGTCTCTAAGATTGCTAATAAAAAATCTGCCATTTGAATTTTCCCCCATATGTATGCTACGATTCCCCCACTACTGTGTCTTTTTTTTTTTTTTTTTGCAGAGGTTTAACTATGGTGTGTGTATCTTGGTGTGGATTTCTTTGGATTTATCCTATTTGGGGTTTTCTTGGCTTCTTTAGACTATAGGTTTATGTTCTTGGCCATAATGGAAGTTTTCCTCCATGATTTCTTCAAATACTTTCTCCTCTCCTCTCCTCTCCTCTCCCCTCCCCTCCCCTCCCCTCCCCTCCCCTCCCTGTTCCGTTCCTTTCCCGTCCTGTCCTGTCCTGTCCTGTCCTGTCCTGTCCTGTCCTGTCCTCCCCTCCCCTCTCCTCCCTTCCCCTCCCCTCTCCTCCCCTCCCTGGCCTGGAACTCATGGCAATTCTCTTGCCTCAGCCTCCCAAGTGCTGGGATACAGGCATGAGTCACCACTCCTGGCTTCGAGTACTTTTTGTCCTCTATTCTCCTTCTCTTTTTCCTCCAGGATTATGATATAAATATCAAATCTTTTGTTACAGCCCCATAAGCTCCTCAGGCCCGGTTCATTTTTGCTTATGGTTTTTCTCTCTGGTCCAACTTGTGTAACTGTCATGGTTCTATTGTCCACCTCACCCATTCTTTCCTCTGCCTTCTCTAGTAAGCCTAACCATAGAGGCCTTTTCCTGCAGTGCAGGAACTGATCCCAGGGCCTTGTGCATGCCAGGGAAGCTCTCATCCACTGAGCTACAACTTCTGTGGGACTGTGTTTTAAAAAAAAATCCAGTTCTCAAAATACTTTTTTAAAAAATGGTTGCATTTTTAAATTCTTGCTTCTTTTTTAAAAACGGTACTATTTAGTTTTTCTTTTTATCTTCTATTTCTTTGCTGAGACTTTTTCTATCTTTTTTTCATTTTTGTTTCATGTGTGCTTATGATTGCTCATTGAGGCATTTTTATGATGGTTGCTTTGAAATCTTTTTCAGTTATATCTAACATTTCTGTCTTCTTGGGATTGGCACTGCCTTTTCTCATGCTGTTTGAGATCTTCTTGGCTCTTTGTATGGCAGATGGCAGGCGCCTAAAGATTTTCATGTTGTAAGATTCTGCCCCATCCAACCTCCTCTGTCACCACATGGCTGTGAGTGGCCTTGGTACCCATAACCTTCTATGTGAGGCTGAGTCCAAATCCCACTCTCAGTCTTCTGCTGGGTGGGTTGGGCCACAGCATTCTGTGGTGTTTGGCTGATGCAGGGAGCCTATGTCTACAGACACTGGCTCTTTCCTGGTCCTCTGGCTAGACAGACAGGCTTTTGTGGAGCTTCCTTTATTTCTACCCACTCGAATTTCCCAGATCACCATGCATGAGGCAAAAGAAATCACAGGGCTCTCATGCCCCACTCGTCCTTCACAGTATGTCTCTTCTCCCTTGTGGGTGAATCCAAGTTTTTTAGAGGAGCAGGGACAGATTACCCTCCAGTTCCAGTTCCTCTCAGTTTTGAATGTAACAAAGGATGTAAAATCCTTTAGTGATGGGTGTGTACAACAAATGCCATGAAAGTGTTCCTGAAATTCAGACCTCAGTCCTCCTAAGTCAGAAGGGCAGCTCTAGAATACATGGTTCATCCTGCCCAGGGAAACTCTACCAGGGCCACACCTGCCACCCTTAGAGAAGGTGCTGTCCATGGCCACCTGCCAGGCAGGGCCTAGGCTCCGGACATGGGTCCTGTATTGGGGACCCATCACTCCTGGGGCACACTGGACAGAAAAGCATGTGGGCATCACTGAGGCTCGGGCACAAAGACTGAAGGAAAAGACAGGGCTAGTTACCTTTTCTGTCACCAACTTTTCCTCTGCCACCTCGGGAGCCAGAAAGAAGGAGTTGTAGGAGCCTAGGAGAAAAAAACCAGCTTAGTTTCTTTCATGCCTGGCCAGTGGATGCTAGAACTGTCCCGAGGATGACCCCAGTACACACCGTTGGCAGGGGGTGGCCCGAAGAGCACAGTTCCATCCTCAGCCACCAGCACGTTGTCCAGGCACAGGCAGGCTACAACACAGTGCAAGTCAGGAACTAGCATAGCCTGCACACCTTGCTCAGGGCATGCCATCCTCCAGGGTCACCCAGGAGACACCAGAGCATGGGTCCTGTGCTGGCGAGCAGCCTCCCTCCACAGAGGGCCAGGAGACTGGCCAAGAGTGGCTAGGCATGGGCCCTTTTACCCCACCAGTCAAAGCTGTCCTGGTCACCAATGTCACCTAGCAATATTATCCCTTTCATGCTGGGGATGAAAAATAGGGGGAGGAAATGTGCACACCATGAGCCAGGAACAGGGCAGGGCAGTGGCCACGGTGGGGTGGGAAGTGTGTGGTCAACGTTGTGACTGCTCGTAGGGAAAGTGTTATTCTGGGGGAGGTTGGGAAGTCCACTCTCCTCCTCAGTTTCAAATTCTATCCTGACTCAGTGCCCAGGGTGGCTTGGGAGCAGCAGCTCACTGGAGCCTGATGGCAGTGTTTCTCTGATTACCTTTCCACCTCTAACAGAGTTGTCCTTGTCACGACGATGGCAGTGTGAAACCACAGGTGAACCACACATTGTCCTGCTATCTGGCACATGCAGCTCAAGGGGACCACAAGTCAGTGCAACAGCTAATCTTCCTGCCCCCATACCCAGGAACATTGCTACCTCTGTAGAGAACGTGTGGGCTGGAGCTATCCTGTTCCTCTTTATAGCAGGGATCATCTGATTCAGATCCACAGATAACAAGCATCCCCACTCCCTTCCTTGTGCTGAGACCAGAGGAGCTTTCAGTGGGTGGGCTTGGCCTTTGCTTTTTGCACACAGCATAGATGCTGCCTTCCACCACCCGCAATGTGGACACTACCTCCCTTTTCCTGCCTCAAAGTGTGAGTAATGACCCCTGCTCTAGATCACAGTTGGACACCACCACCCAACATTCCTCTGCTGACCCTGGCCCAGCTCAGGTGGGCAGGTGATACGCGTCACCTGGATGCTCTGTGTGCTTCTGAAGTGCACTGAGGCAGGCAAGGCACAGGGCCCAGAGCTCGTATTCCCTGAAAGGTCGGCCCAGCTTGGACAGGAGGTCCTGAAGGGACAGGCACTGCGGGAGAGAGAGAAGCATCAGGTGAGAACACCACTACCCGGCCTGATACCCAGAGAGGACTTTGTTGGAGGATGATAGGTGAGAATCCTTTTACTCTCTGTCCTCAGAACTCCAGCTAGAAGGGACAAGAATGTCCCCAAGTCAAAGCAAACATGGGTAAGGCTGTAGGGATGCTGGAGCCCTTACACACTGCTAGTTGGAATGAAAAATGGTGCAGTTGCCACAGAAAATGGCAATTCCTCAAGAAACAAAGCAGAATTATCCTATGATCTAATAAGTCCACTTCTGAGAACATACTATAAAGAACCAAAAGTAAGGACTTGAGAAGATATTTTTCCACTCATGTTAAAGGTAGCATCATTTATGAGACTAGCTGTTAGGAGGTGGGGCAGAGTTGAATGAGGTGGGTCGCTTGGGGAGTGGCCTGGATGGGTTTATTTTCCTTGTGGCTTCTCTCTTGACCTGTTTCCCTGGTCACCATGATGTGAATAGCTTCTCCTCTGCAGAGACCCTCCCATTATATCATTCAGCCTCAGAGCCAGCACATTATGGACTGAAACCTCTACAAACTGTGAGCCAAACTAAGCCTTTTATCCTTTAAGCTGTGGATGCTGAATAGTGTCTCTGTGATGAGAAAGTGACAGAGACAATGATCATATGAATTATGCAGTCACTTGCCTCTTGTCCTTTGGGTCACAGGGAGCATCACCTTTGTCCTTGGGCTCAGACCTTGGTGAATAGATTTGTTTGGACCACTGCCCCAGCTGTCTTTGCCCTGAGGAACACACCAGGGCACAGAGTTTTGGGGTGACTTTCTAAAGTTTTGGGGAACATGCTTGTTGTTGCAGTTTGGATGTGGTCTGAATGTCCCCAAGGGTCCATGTGTTGGAATTTTACCCCACTGCGAGGTACTAAAGGGGGAACCAGGTCTGACCATGGTGTACAGAGGTAAAGGCTCTGGAGGTGATTAGGACTGGATAAGGTGACAAGCAAGGAGCCCCCATGACACCCGGTGACTTCATAAGAAGAGGAAGAGAGATCAGAGGAGACACATGCTTCCTGTCTCTTGCCATGTGATGCCCTTTCCCACCTTGGGACTCTGTCAGCAAGAATTCATCACTAGGTGTAGTCCTCAACCTTAAACCTCCACTGCTGTGGGCGAAGTAAGCCTCTTTTTGTTTAGGAAGTACCCCACCTCAGGTATTTTGTTATAATAATGAAAAACAGACTAATTCAGAAGATTACTTATATACTTGACTAACTGCCACTTGGTAGGGCTCACTTCAGGGATCCTTGGCTGGAGGCCACTCTAATCACCTATAACAAGGCTAGGAGCAACTCAATCCTCCCAGACAGCTGACTCCAAGTAGAGCCCTCTGTCTTTCATAAAGGATAGTGTTGGGCTGGAGAGACCCTGCCCTGGCCAGGGAGACCACATCCTGCCAAGGGGCCCTGTACTGGCAGCTGCACAAATTCTAGGGTGGACAAAGCTTCTAACCAGGTGCAGATTCTACCAGGCTTTCTTCACATACCACAAATCTATCCCACTGTTATTATTATCATTATTATTACTATTATTATTATTATTTTGTGCATGTGTGGTTCTGGGAATTGAACCCAGGGCCTTTGCATCCTAAGTATCCTTTTTATTATTCGAGGCAGGATCTGCCTAATAACTAAATTGCCTGGCTTGGGCTCCAATTTAGACTCCTTCCTTAGCCTCGAAAAGTGTTGGGATTACAGGCATGTGATACCATGCTTGGTTTGTCTTCTAACTTAAAATAATCAGAAGAGCAGGACAAGGAAGACCCTGAGGTTAGAACTGAGGAAACAGGGCCCCTGAGTAACCCTGCACTGGGTAGACAGTCAAGCCTTGGGTGGGCCAGTTCATAAGTATGTGGGGCTGGAGCCATATAGGGCAGGGTGGAAGCTGGAGGGAGTGGCTACTTTCTGGATTGTCCAGAGATGAATCCCACCCTCCAGAAGGCTGTGGGGAGAAGCTCTGACCTTGAATTCATACTGGAGTGACAGCTGGCCTCACAAGCTGTATTAAAAAACATGGCAGCTTGTTGGGTATGATGGCATACACCTGTAATCACAGCGCTGAGGCTGAGGCAGGAGTATCAAAAGTTCAATTCTGTCTAGGTAACTTAGTGAGACCCTATCTCCACAAAACAAAAACAAACACAGGCTGAGAATGTAGCTTAGTGGTTGAGAGCCCTAGGGTTTGATCCCTAGTATCAAACCAAATCAGGGAGCTTGATGAAAACTTTGAAATTATTAGGCAACAGTGAAGGCTGTGGTGCCACCCTTGTGTTGACTGAACCCTGAGGTCCTGGAGAAGCATGGTTGCAGTACTCAGCTGTACCCTGACTCCCCAGCCCTTGCAGTGCCCACCCACCTGCTCTGATGCAGTGCTTCCTGTCTTCCTGCCTTCCTCCAGAATCCCCCTGGTGTCTTCAGGAGTCCAGGTTTCGTGGCCTGCATCTTGAAGGTCTGCAGGGTGGGGCGAGGGTGTGTTCTCTGCAGGCCCCTGGTCAGTGGATGAAGTGTCATGTTGTCCCAAGGTCCCTGGCCCTCTGTCTATGTTGTGGCTGGATCCCAGTGCCTCCTCCCGCTGGAGTCTCAGTTCCCTCTCAGGACACAGTCTGCTTTTGGACTGTGCCCTGAAGCTTGAAAGGCCATTTTTCCCCTCTAGAAGGAACTTCCTGGGATCCGGGGAGAAGAAGTCAGATAGAGTTAGCTGGTTTTTTGAGCTCGTCAGTGACAGGCAGAGGGCACTGGCCTCAGGGCCCTCAGACAGCAGCCTGGGGAACGTCTGCACCTTCCTCAGGCGGTTCCTCTTCAGGATGTCTCTGCCTGGCTCACCAAGGAGTGATGTGGTGTCCAGAACAAGGCTGGCCAGCCCCTCCCCGCTGGGGTTCTCGCCATTTTTCATGGGGGCTGATAGCAGTGGCTTAGTGGGTGGGGGCCTGGGGCCTGGGTTGGCCTCCTGCTCTGGGTCCCTGGGGGCAGGAGGCTGGGTCTGGCTCTCAGAAGTGGACAGGGCCTCTGGGTCAGCGCAGAGGTCTCCAGGGGATCTCTTGGGCCCCACACTTCTTGGAGCATATCTCCCCTTCCAGGTGTTCTCGCTGATGTCTGGGAACAAGGTATGATATGATTACTATGGAGGATCCTGCACCAGGGTCCCACACCCCATGTGACTCCCACAGCCACTCTGACTCTGCCCCATTCATCTCCACAAGTGCTTAGGGCACCTGTCTAACAGGTGGGGACTCCTGGCCCACCCTGCAAATCCTCACCATTCCCTTGGTGCAAGTCCAGAGATGTCCTGCCTGCCTGCCTGCCCTGTCATGTCATCCAGCTAATTAGAAGCTGCAAGCAGACAGGATCCTGGGCTTCCCTCACCCCACCAGGCAGAGCTTCCCATGGGGTTAGCCCTCACTGATCTGATTATCTCATCCCAAAGTAGCTCATTTTTCTATTGTGATCACACAAATGATCCCCAAAGGAGGAAAGTGAATCTGGCTCCAGTTGTGGGACATGCACTCTTGTGTACATGCCTCAGTGGGAGCAGTTCCAGACACTAGTCCCTTCAGCAGCACTGTGTCCCTCTCACAGCGGCTCTGCACTCCAGGTTAACACCCTCTGTAGTTGCCTGAGCAATGCTGCAGTAACCCTTGGCAAGGAGGACCCTCTGGCCCCCGTGAGGTTCTGGATGCTCATGTGGCCCCAAGCATTTTTTTTTCCCTGAGGCCTTTCAGGCTCCTGAGATGACTTGAGACTCATATGAGTCATGGAACATAAGACCACAGCAGCTACAGCTTAAGAAAGGGAGGTCTACCAGATTGGGTGGTATAGGCAGGCAAAACAATGGTGGTATGCCCTTGGCCTCTGCCAGAAAGCAGAGACGAGCTAAGACAGATGAGCAGCACCAGCCTCAGGTGCTACTGGACTTGATCCTGATCCTCACTTATTGCATGGCACTGCAAGGTTTCCTTGGTGGTCACTGAGTATGTGTGGGTGTGTGAGTGTGAAAATACCAGAATGCACATAGTATACACATGTGTGGAATGTATGACAGTGCAGGTGGTATGCATGAGAGTGTGAATGTGTGTAGTACAGCCAGACACTTGTGAATTTGCATATGTGGACAGTGCGAACACAGTGTGAGTATGCGTATATGAAGTATACATGCATCTCATCTGAATGTGTGTGATCATGAATGTGGTGGGTATTTATAGGATATGTGTGTTAGTATGAATATGCGTGAGTGTGCATGTATCTGTGTTGATGTCTGCCTTCTGTGTGCACACTTCTGTTAGTGGGTGTGTGTACATATATGTGTTTTGCACATGCATGTGTATATGTGTGTACTGAGTTTGCATTCTATAAGACTGTCTATATGTGCATACATGTGTGAATGCATGTACATATGCAGAAGTGTGTATATGTACAAGTATGAACGCACATGTGTCATGCATGTGCTTACCCTGAAATGCTCCAAAGGACTCGATGGATAGCACCCTCCTGCCGATGGCTGAGAGACTCCGGCACAGGCGGCATGAGGACATAGGCTTCATCTTCTCCTCACACAGTGCTATGATGCTCTAGGGACACGCATACACCTTTCAGGAATGAAAACTCACCAGCAGGAGGCCCACCCTCCTGAGACCCGCCTCCCTGCATATAGCTAAGTAGTGGTGTCTGACAGTCCCCAGGGCCACCCAACCTGCCTACCACAGTGTACCTTCTCCCATAAAAGACAAGACGTCCTGGAACTACAGAAAAGTTATGCCCATGGTAACTGTAAGTCAAAACTCTTCATTACAAAAATGTGTAATAAAAATCAAGTCCTGGTGTAGACAGAATTGCAATGCTGCAAAATTCTGGTGAGGCTGCTGGGCCCCCAGGTGGTGTGTGTGTGTGTGTGTGTGTGTGTGTGTGTGTGTGTGTGTGTATGTGTGTGTGTGTGTGTGTGTGTGCGCGCGCGCGTGCAGGCATTGAGCTCATGGCAGGAGTCAGATGATGTCTAGGCCTCTAGTTTACCTTCAGATCTGGCCGGTCTCTGGGATCCTCTGCCTGCATCTGGCCCAGTAGTGTCTCCAGGTCCAGGCTTAGCTTGGGTTCCAGCTCAGGCTCTGTCACATACTCGAGGGCAGCCTTCAGTGTGGCCCCCAGAGAGTAGATATGAGCCTGCAGCACCAGAGAGGCACCAAGGAACCATTAGGAACTCTGCCTGCAACCACTTCCTGTTGTGGACTGACTCAGGACACTCCTGCAATATTGCTGGGCACTGGCCCCACTGCACCTATCATCCCCAGGGGAAACAGTGGCACCAGTCCATGAGCACTCAGGTCTGGGTATTCATTGACCCCATAGCCCCACCAGTCCCTTTTACACTTCCCACATCTCAGCCCCACCTGGCTCTACAGAGTGCGGGCATGAGCTCCTCACCAAGGTTGTAATTCCTTTCAGAAGGAGGTGGAGTATGTGTGTGACCCATGGTCTCACACACGCTAGGTGAGATATGAGCAGGATGGCTTTTCCTTTTGTTGGAAAGTTGGGTTTTCCCTCACCGAGCACATGAGAGTGAGTACATAGCTCGGCCAGGATACCAGCGTCATCAAAGGCCTTGGCTTAGATTCTGGTAGGCTGATGGCAGCTGGTGCCTCCTGCAGCTAGGCACTGCAATGCCTTTCTTGTTTCATAAAACAAACAAACATGGCTGATATTATATTGTAACTCCGGTGATTTTTTATATTAATCTGGGAAGAGCCAACTTTTTTACAAAATAATATCTCTATTATAGGACAGGGTCTGTCTTTTTTGTTCATTTTATTTTTAACAAACAACTGTACACATTTATGGGTTAAAATGCAATGTCTTGATTCACATTTACAATGTGGAATTATTTGTTCCTGGCTTGTTTTCCTGTTTTAAAGGTCCTATTGTTGTACTGACTCTTAGAATTCCTGTGGGTTTTGTGGCTATATAAGTGGAATGTTTAAGTTTCATTTCTAACTGGTAATTACAACAAAGGAAAGCACTTATTGGGGATGTATCTTGTGTTCAGTTGGCCTCTGACATCTCCTATTCTCTGTGTTACAGGTCTACAGGACCCTGTCCTCCCCTGGCCTCCTGAATCCCACCATTATTCTCATGCTCACAATGCAGGCCCTCAGTCTCCCCCACTTCTCACAGATAAATGCTGGAACCCTCCTCATCTTCCCTCTCACATGTTGTGGGGACCCAGCCAAGCTACAGACTGTTGTTGAGCCCTAGGATGGTTCTCAGTGTTGTCACTTTTTAAATGACAGAGGCAGCAATGGGTGTCACATCTGTGAGGGGCATCAGGATATGGGGTGAGGAGGAGCCTGTAGCCTGCCTCAGCTGCCTACCCTGTATTGATGCCCTTCTCACTCACAGCCCCTTCATGTCTTATAAGCTCCTTGTTCCTCACCTGGTGACCCGCGCCCTTCAGTTCTGGCCTAGGCTCACTTGCTCACTATGGACTCTGGGACCCTCGATGAAAACAAAGACACCTGTTATTTCCTTGAAGCCTTATTTGCAGGCCCACTACTTTTGTCCTGCCTATTGGTCTCCCATCAAAGATAGTCCCCTATGAAGACTGTGACCTCTACACAGCAGGACCCCATCTGCCCTGTGGCTCTGATCCTGTCAAATGCACACCCATGGACAGGTGATGTGTGAACAAGCAAACAACATGTATCAGGCCTGAGATGTCCTAGTTGGTTCCTCAGGAGCCCATATCTTCTCAGGGCAATGATGGTAACAGAGGGTCCTGTGTGGGCTAGAACCTGGCCCATTTTTAACTTTTGGGAAGTAAGCGTCCTCTGGAGTTTCCTGAGCAAAGAGTCAGGTGTACAGACATGGTCCTGGGAAGGCTTGCTGCAATGTGTCCTAGAGATTTGGGGAGTGGAGGTGTCAGTCTCAGGAGCAGGAGGGGAGATGGCCCTGGAGGGTAGGGAGAGGCTCTGTGGTCCCTGGAATATCTGGGCCAGCACAGAGGGGTTATGGCCTGCATGAAACTGCATTGTGTATCAGTGCAGTGAGGTTTGGGATAATGGCCAGGAGGAGGTGCCCTTGAGTAAGTGAGGGAGTGAGCTCAGCATGAATGCAACTGACAACCACCTTCAACAGAAACCCAGGAGGCCAGAGCAGGGTATCATGTGTCCAACACACAGGCTGACCCAGCCAGACTTTCCCAGGAGCACAATAGCACCAGGAAGGTGAGCTGGCATGTGGTGCCCCAAGTTCCAGGTCATAGGATGGACTTGACCTGTGTGACAAGATTCTGCAAGACATGGAGACTTAATATCCTGGGAGTCAATATATGCAATAGTTAAATTGTTGAGGGGTGGCAGCTCCCAGCCAAAGTCACCAGAGTAAAGCTAATCTCGGACCGATCAGAGACCCTAGGCACCATGGAATGGGGTGTGTGGCTCCACGTAGAAGTGGGAACAGGCCTTGGCACACCCAGAAGTTTTTTTCACAAGGGTAAGGTACAACAAACCCTCTCCCTCTGTGGTTAGAATGACAGGAAAATCACTTGTCACTCTGGGAACTGAGACAACTGGAAGAACAGAAGGCTCCATTGTTGGATGATTCTGAGATGTAAAGATAGGGGTCCTTCCCCTGTCACATGCCCGTCAGCCTCCTACATCCATCCTGGATGTCAATACCACTGTGTCTTGTCTCTGCACCACCTGTTCCTACCCTGGGCTTCCAGGAAAGTCCCTCCCCGGGAAATTTAGGCACCTATAGTTCAGTGGCTCCTGCTATGCTGGGCCTCAGCTTCTCTGCAAATGTGGGAACATGATGCACTCTACAGGGAGAATAGCATCCGCCCACCAGCAGAGCCAGGAATCTCAATGCATTTACCTTGATGGTTAGTAGGGAAGTGGGCAATAAAATGAAATAAATGGAATAAAATGTTACAGAAGGTAAAAACAACCCAATGAGTAGGTTTGAGTCATCCAGAGAAGCCTGCATCCTGATTGGTGAACACAAATATCAAAAAGAAAAAACCTTAACAAACTGCAAACAACAGGTGCACAGATAGCATTTTTCACTCACAATCTGACAGACTAAGAAGTCATAAAGAGAAAGACCAAGACAAATAAGAAGCCACAGTGTGCTCAGAAACAGCAACAATGGTCACACATCACCTGTACATGAATGTGCATTTGACAAGGATCAGAGCCACAGGACAGATGGGGTCCTGCTGTGTGGAGGTCACAATCCCTATAGGGGACCATCTTTGATGGGAGACCAATAGACAGGGCAAAAGTAGTGGGCCTGTATGATAGACTTGACACAAATGCTGGCCAGAACAAGCCAGCTAAGGTCAGCTTTGTTCAAGACCACCCACAGAAATCACAAAAGTAGGATGAAACCCTCATCTCTGCTTTCTGTCATCTGGATGCCACCCTGGGTGGTACCAGGTGCTGGTCACATTCTAACTCCATCTGTGTGCTGCCTATGGGAGCAGGCTTGTAAGCCTGAGGCTCATATCTCAATAAAATGAGTAACAGAACCAGCCAGGCATAGCAGCACATGCCTGTAACCCAACAACTGAGGAAGGCAGGAGGACCACAAGTTCAAGTTCCACCTGGGCAACTTAGTGAGACTGCATTTCAAAAAAGGGGGGCTGGGAATATAGGTCAGTGGTAGTTGCCCAGGGGTTTGATTCTCTGTAAACTCTCCCCATTCACACATGAAATATGAAAATTGCAACCCATCAAGGGACTAAAGAAGAAATCTCAATGGAAATTTAAAAAAAATTAGAACCAAACGCTATGTGGTAGAGCTCACAGGACACAGCAAAACTCAATTCATAGCCCAAAGTAGTGACAATGGTATTAGAAAGGAGGAGACTAAAAATGAATGAGCTGAGCCTGCAACTCAAGTTACAAAAGGAAAAGACAATAAAAGTAAAGAAGAAATAAAAAATGAATCAATGGAAAAGAATAAAGTGGGTGTGGTAGTACATGTCTGTCATCCCAGTACTTTGGAGACTGAGGCAGGAATAGAAGCAGGATTGTTACATGTTCAAGACCAGACTGGACTACAAAGTCTGGGCTACAAAGGGCAGACACAAAGTCTGGAGTATAAAGTCTGGACTACATAGCAATACCCCATCTCAAAAAGACGAAAAAGAAAAAAAAAAAAGTAAAAGAACATGCAAACATGTAGACACCACGTGGTGCAGAGAAGATTTTGTGAAAAAAATGAACAAAAAACCCATGGCCAGACTGACAAGCAGAAGGAAAGAGATAGTGCAAATTAAATGATCAGTGTGAGAAAGGGGGCAGCCTACCGAAACCATGGGAGGGGAAAGGGTTTCCTTTGCAGCTAGCCCTTTTAACGCACCTTCTGTAGTTTACAAAAAACCTGACTCAATAAAAATTAAAAATCAGGCTAGCCTTATAACCAGTAAAAATTGAAAGTAATTAGAAATCTTTTTGCAAAGCAAACAGATGGCACTAGCAGTGAGTTTTACCAGACTTTCAAGGGATAGATCATTCCATTCTTATACAAACAGAACAAAAAGAGAGAGGGTAGACAGACAAGAGTGGGGTAATCCTGATGTCAATGCCAGTCAGAAATAGCAGGAGAATGGAAAATTACTAGCCACTCATGAAAAAAATATGAGAGAATCCACGCCACACAATTGTTAGTCAAATTCAGCAGTTAATAGGGAAAATAAGACACTTGGCCAATCTTGGTTTTTCTAAGTAGAAAAAGGTGACTTAATACCAGAAAATACGTATATAAACATGACAATCTTAAAACTATAGAATTTTTGAAGAGATGCAAAAAGCATTTCATAAAGATGAAATATAAATCCTTGACAAACCATGGTGAATTCAGCATAGAAGGGAACTTGTGGCCAAGTCTGAAGCCTTCCTGGTTGGCAAAAGGTGAAAACACAGTTAGAATGGGGGGTGGGAAGTGGATGGAATCAGTTCCCTGGGCAGGATGGGTAAACTGTAGATCCAGCAAGGTTCAACACTGTTCCTGGCACAAGGGAGGCCTGAGGCATCACCGCTGTTGGTTTTTGCCAGTGACTGAATAACTTAAACAGAAAACCCAAAAGAATCTATAAATTATTAGAAATAAGATTTTATAAGATGGTTGGATATAAACTTAAGATATTAAGATGAATTGCATTTCTGTAAATAGCAACAAGCAAGCAGAGAACCAATTAAAAGATGACCATCGATTTTATAATCGAATCAGATCGTAAATTCCTGAGAATAAATCTAATAAAAGATATCTCAGATCATTACGGTAAAAGTTTATAGTGGTACTAAGAGATGTTAAAGAGGAACACAGTAAGGGAGGCAGTGTCAGGTGATTCTAGAAAAAGAAGCTCATACATGATAAAGAGGTGAATTCTCCCCAATTGATCTACAGATTACTGCCATTCCAGACAAGCTGCCAACAGAGCTTTCATGAAACGTGACAAATTTACTCTAAAACATGTATGGAATAAGGAGTTGAGGACAGTCAGGTCAGTTGTGCAAGCAGCAGAGCTCACCAGAAATGAGTGATTAAAAGAACGCTGTTCTAGGAAGGGGACAAATGAGGGACCGAGGAACAGAGCAGGACGGGGACCTCCCAAAGCTTCTCATCTCTGCTGGCCTAGGTATGGGAGAGGTGGCTGCTCTGGGACCAGTAAATAAACAGAGCCAGGAAAGCTGGCGGGCAACACAGAGCAGGACAAAAGCAATCCCTGTCTCACACTGGATAAAAAACGTTGGCTACCACACGCTAATTCACTTAGTAATTTCACATTGTGTGCATATGTCTGAACATTGCCATGTACTCTGTGTAAGGAGGAAAATTTTGTTTGTCAGTTACACTTTAATAAAGCAAGGAAAGATCGGCTTCAAGTGAATTAAGTATGAAGAACAGAACTTTGAAACTCTTGGTGGTAAATGTCAGTGAGTATCTGTGAGACCTTGAGCTGGGGAAGTCTGTTAAGGACATGATACACTCTAACAAAGGAAGCACTAGTCGATATGATCGCATTAAAACTGAGACATTCTTTTTCCACAGAGGATACCTACAGGTGGCTTTCCTCAAAGTGTGCTTCAAGAGCTCAGAACTATTTTCACCATTTGCCTTTTTTTTTTTTTTAACTTTTTATCAGTACCAGGGATCGAACTCATGACCACCTGCTTGCAAGGCAGGTGCTTATGCCACTGAGCTAAATCCCCAGCCCCACCATTTTCCTTTTTCACCTTCCTTCTCTCCTGCGCTGACAGGGAGGTTCAGAGGACATCTGATGTCTTACTGCAGCAGCCTGAATGCAAGTTCATTCAGTGTCCAAGGCCACTTCTTCCACATGTGGAAAGCTGTCCTGCTGCCACCAAGGACAGCCTCCACTGGCAACAGTCTGGAACACTCAGAGGGCCACCCACTGCAGCACCCAAGGTAAGCAAGTAGCTACAAAGGTACAGGCGGAGAGGAAGGGGCTCAGTTAAGGGATTCCCCAGCTCTTACCTCGAAGGTGTTCCCAGTCAGGTCAAACTCTGGAGGGACAAAGGCACCCTCAGGGTCATCTTGGGGAAGAAAAGAAAAAGATGTTTTGGTGACACCCACAAAGAATCAGTGAAGAAAGAAAATTATCAACTAGAGCTCAGCCCCTCAGATGCTCCATGAAAGGTCAGGAAGGTGTGGCCCAGGTCCCCAGAGCCAAGTCCTCTCCCTCCAGCCCCTCCCTTGGGGCTGGCCATCCCAGAGCACAGTTTTAAGCAGTTAAAAAAAGATACCTTAACTGTAAATGTGGAAAATTCATTTCAAAGGGAAGGAAAAAAATATATCATTTGGCTTCCTAAAGAAGGACAAGTGAAGGCCGCCATTTGAGAAAATCATGTCTGTTGGCTCAGGCTCTTCAGGGAGATGGCTGGTCCACCTCGGCCAGGTGAGCCTCATCTGTAATTTGCTTCAGGTTAGCAGGCAAGACAAGGAGCCCAGACCTTCCTCAGGGGTAGAATTAGGGTTAGGATTACTGCCTGCATCAGCCAACCTCTCCTTGGTCTTCTGAGGGCTTATGTGGCAGCCTTGGGGAATGTGAGACCTCTGGTTGGTACAGCTCCTGCTTATTGCCTCTGAGATACCTCAGGCTGAGGGTGCTATCAAGCTCCAAGGAAACCTGGGCCTGGGCCCGCGCCCTGTGCCCACTTAGCTGCTGCCTGGAGGCTTCCACCTAGTTGCACTGCCCGCTGGGCCTCACCGCTGAGCTGCTCCATGAAGCACACATTTCCGCTGGTGTTGAAGGCCAGAGTGTCGGGTGTGATGCACAGGGTCTGGAAGATGGCAGAGTGGGCAACGCTTTGCATGGACAGGCTGCATTCCAGGCATACAGCCCAGGCCTCCTGTTCGCTGAGACCACTGTCCCGCAGGGAGAGGATGTCAGCCAGGGACACGTTCTCCTGCCAAAATACACCTCAGTGTAAGCCCACTGAGGGGCCTCCTCTGGGCAGAGCCCTCCACCCCACACTGAGACTGAATCTCTGGTTCAGCAATCTTATGTATCAAGAAAAGTTTTAGGCAGGTCTTTTAAAAGCAAGTCTCATCCTGCTGCTCCCTGAATGTCAGTGCCGTCTAGCATTTGTTGAAACACTGGTATGTTGTCCAGAGCAGATGTGTGCTCATGTAGCCTGGGGAGAAGGCCACCCTCTCCGGAGGTTGGCTGACAACATGCATCCAGCTACTCACATAGCTACCCCTAACCCACAGATTCACAGTGCAGCCAGCATGCTGAGGCTATGAACGTATAAGTCACAGGTACCTGTGGAGACAGTCAATGCCTACAGAACATGCATCTGTGCATGGGAAGCTTTCAACTAGCTAATGTGGCGTAAGCCTATGACAGAATCCTATGCTGTATCCCATGTTTGTGAAGCTGCCAAGATGCAGGTCACATGGAGGATGCAGTTGATGGTGGTTCCGCCTGCATAGCTTGATTGCTTACCTGCTCAGCTCAACACAAACATTCAAGTGGGTTCTGTGACTCCGTGAGAACTTGTCTGTGAGTATGACGGTCAGTATCAACACCCACACAGGTGCACTCACATAACAAGTGCATACCTGTACACGGGCAATGTCCCCATACAACACAGGTAATTCACACATGCATGGACCTACATGCCATGTTCTCTTTGCACACATGTGCACATGCAGAAACACACATGTAGCCTTAACATGTACTAGCATATATGCTTTCATATGTGCACATACTTACATGCCAAGCCTCACCCACAGGCATCACACATTCTCACATGCCTCACTCATGTACACACTCTCATACAAGAGTCACAATCATTGTTTTGTCTTGTTTTATTGAGACAGGGTCTTGCTATGTAGATAAGCCTACCCTTGAACTTACTATATAATCCAGGATGGCCTCAAATTCACAGAAATCCTCTTGCCTCAGCCTCCCAAGTGTTGGGATAATGGGTATGCATGACCACATCTGGCAACAAGCATTCTTATACACACAAGCATACACCACAAACACACATATCCTTTCACTTATTTCCACATATACAACCATATTTATACACTCATACCCTGTCACACACATCCACACAATACATGAACCACACTCACACATAACATTAGCACACTTTCTCATGCATGTGTGTACTCATTTACACACACTTCCACACATATATGCTACCATGTTCAAATTTAGCATACATCTTATGTGCACAAATGTACACATTACACACATCCACACTCGCAAGCACACAGTTGCTGTCACATGTACATAAGCACTCAGACTGGCATACACATCAGATCCCCAGGAATTTAAGCCCTCTCCTGGCCTACTGTTCCTGGACTCCCTTGCCTCACTCTGTTTGCACACCATCCCACTTACAGAACAGGGTGGAGATTCTGAGGGAAGTGGGCTGGAGCTGGGGTCAGCAAAGGATGCGGCCATGGGAACAGGATGACTGGGGCATGGACAATCAGGACTCCCACCTTTTCCTCCAGCCTTGTCAGATCGTTGCCCAGGACAGCCAAATGGCCAGGTCCACCTTTGGCTTGTATTACAAAGAGTGCCCGCAAGCACAGATGAAGGAATAAAGGGCTTAAATCAAACAACCAGCCAGCCAACAAACAGAATCATCATCCCACTGAGGAACATGGCTGAGTTTCTGGATCTCCTGCTTCCCACATGACTGGCATATCCACCTGACTACTTCCCTTTCAGAGAGGCCCAATGATGTCACTTCCCCAGGCCTTCCAGCTTTTTCTGTGGTGGGCAGCTCCCTGGTTGTCTGGTCTTTCTGATGTGGGCTCAGTCCTGAAACCTCTGTGCACCTGAAGATGACAGCAGTGCCTATGAGACCCAGCTAAAGAAGTGCACAAAATGCACTCATATGTATCAAGCCTGCACACAGACATGTGGTCTGCACATGTATCTTCACACGTGTACCTATACATGAGTGCACAGCATGGTGCATATATATAGGTATGCGCATGTGTTTACCGTGAACATGCAAGCAAACACAGGCACACACTAAGTGTGGTAACCCTGTTGGCCCCATGTGTCTGTGACATTCAGGAGAAGGGAAGCCAGCCCACAATATGAGTCTGAGCCAGTCCCAGTTCCACGGCAGGGCCTGCCAACACTCTGCTGGCTGCTGCTTACACTGGCCAACAGGCCTGCCTGCTCGTCCCCTACCCCCACAGTGGCAGAGTGTGCTGCCAAGAGAAGGGAGCCCCATCAGGTGAGCTTGTGGCCCCCAGCACCTCCTGCTCAGGTCCAGGAGGAAGTTACTCCTGAGCTGGTCTTCAGGGCAGCTAGACACCTGCAGACCCTGCAGTACTTATGGGCAGAGGTCTAAATGTGGAGAAGCAGGAGCCCTGGGGATTCTCTGGGTTTCTTTGGGATGAACTGTGAGAGGCCTCTTGAGTCATTGCCTCTGGCCATCGCTAAAGCCTCCTCAATGATGGGACCATCTCAGCCCCCTGACATCTGCTTTCCCCAGGTGGCATTCAGCCCATGGCACCCTGTTAGCTCCCCTTGTCAATCACCAAGGACCCCAGGTCTGAATATTGCACTTCATGGTCACCTGCCCTTTGGAATCTACATTTGCCCCTGCCACCTCCCTGCTCTGACTCAGGTGTGAGGAATCACTCATCCGTGCCAAAATATATGGCAGCTCAGCTAGGACAGGTGGGAGTGTGGGATGAGCTTTGGCTAAGGTGCCAGGGACAAGGATGAGAGACCAGCAGGAATGTGGGCAGTGCTTGCCAGCTGCTCAGCCTCAGTCCATATCCCCTCTCCCAATTCTAGCAGACACTCCACAGCCAACTCCGTGGACAGACACCCACCCTGTAGCTCTTGCATAGAGAAGCCCCTCAGGGTCCTGTGGTTCTTAGCCTCACAACTAGGTGGGTCCAATTTCAGCCTGCTTGCAGGCAGCCCAAGTGGGCTGTGTAGGACCATAGCAGACATTTCAGAGGGAGGCGATGTGCTAGGAATAGAAAAGCAGCTTTGGCTTCAGCAGAGGCCCATCCATATAAAGCTCCCATCCCAGCACACATGAGGACCCCACACAGACCACCGCATCATGACTCTACACGGAAGACCCTGCTAGCTCTTGCCAACACAGCCTCTCCTTGCATTGCTAGCCAACCTCGGGTGGCTCCACCTGCCAGGACATCCCCTGCTCCTCGGGCAAGTGAGAGGGTCTTTCACACCCCAGCCTGCTTTTACACTTAAGCAGTAAGGTGCTGCCTAGGTGTTGCCCAGGGTCATCCAAGTTATGTTTCCTGCAGGGCAAGAATGAACAACTGTGTGGGTGCTAAATGAAATTGGGGTGGGGGAAATATGGGAAAGCAAATGGATGAGACTTCTAGAAGGGGCTGCTTTCCAGAGCAATGTCATTTTAGCTTATTCTTGGGTCCCCAGAGGGTGGGATCCTTCTATTTCTCTAAGAGCTTTTGAGTATTGAAGAACCTACCCACTCTACTGACTTTGAGTTGGGGTTGCAAGGGACCCAAGGTCACTGTGCACATTTCAAATATAATTCTCATACCTAGTTAACTTTTCAGCTGTGGAATGTCCTAAAAGTTCTGCCAAAGCAAAACTGAAGTCATTGCTAAGGGCAGGAAAATACCCAGGTCCCTGAGCTTCCAGATCCCTGGGGATCTCTGAATGGTGTCCTTTTGGTGTACCTGCTTGTGGCTGTCCCTTGCTGTGAAGCTCTCCTGAGTTTTAGGCTGCCTTCTAACAATTGGGGTACAGCTCACAGGGCCCCTGGAGGGCTCAGTGAGAATAACCCTTCTTCAAAGGATGTTCCTAGCTGTGGGCCCCATCCCTCCTCAAACTCTAAGCTCAGTCCAGAGCCCATCCCTATAAGGTTCTGGGAAGGTATTTGCTGGGCTCAGGGGTGAGAATGTTCTTGATAGGAACAGGGACAGGAATTGCCCCATCTGGCACTCAAATGGCACCATCTTCATCTTTCAACCTGCTGTGGTTTGCAAGGCTGAAGCCACCAGCACCACCTCCCTCTTGACCTGGCAGCAAGTGCTGTGGACCATGGTCCTGCCCACATCCTAGCATGCTGTTCTGCCCCTGATTGTGCATCTCCTGTCCACAGAAGCTGAAATTCCATGTGAATCCAGGGAGAGATACTTTTTTCAGAAAACCCACCTTCCTCAGGGCCTGGGCAGAACATCTTCCCTTTGTGCCTGGAATATTCCACTTGTACTAACCCAGTGGTCCTAGCTGCAGGTGGCCAGGGACACAGTGGTTACAGCTTCCAGGATCTAGCTAGGCTGCACCAGTCTGCTCACCAAGAGCTTTGGGGGATTTCCAGCTGAGTGGTTCTCACACATGCATGGTCCACTCATATATCCCGTGTCTTCACGGTCCATCTGAGTGAAACTGCCAGGATGCTGCATGCTAGTCTCTATGTCTCCCCAGTGACTAGCAGGCTGTTCCCACTCACATTTCCACAGCAACACCACAACACTGACTATGGGGGCCCACAGGTCCTCCCAGCACATGCCTGTCCACCTTCTCTGTTACCCCTCCCTGGTGGTCATGTCGAGGTATTCACAGAGCGCATGTTTTGCATTCTCTAGATTATAATAAGGTCAAATACCTTTTCATGAGTTCAGTAACCATTTAGGTTTTCTCTGGGTCACAATGGAGAAGTGATACTCCAGGGGATCTTAGAGGATCTGTAGGTCTCCACCTCTTGACCTCATTGGAGTGAATTCCTACGTTCTATTCATAGGATGTGACCTGTATCTGGGTCCATCATGCCTTCCTGGGCACTGCCCTTGGCCTGGGCCACACTGACCCTTCCTGATGGCTCTTCTAGCATTGCCACTAGGATGATGATACAGCCTTGTTTTTCTCCATCTTATACCTCATGGCTTGCAGATGCAGCCCAACTATAGAAGGCTGTGACAGGTACAGAGTAAAACCTCTCAATGTAAACCACACTAAACACGTGAAGGAAGCATAAAATATGAACCTGACATGTGTTCTCAGATCCAGCTCAATATTGGCTCAAGGATGTCCTGGGGACCCCTCCTGTGAGCACAAACAAAGGCAGGAGATCCCTCTGGGCAACAAGCCCACCTGAACTTCCCACTGGATGACATTAAAATAGGAGTTTTGCAGTTCACCTAGGGGCCTTGGCACTGTCACAGAAGGAGACCCCCTCCTCCATGCACTTATGCATGTGAAAGCATCTCCAACCCAGAGGAACACTGGGGACATTCCTATAGCAGAATGTGGAGGGCCTGGTGAAAAGGCAGACCACTTTCTGAGTGTGAGACTTACGTTTCAATCGTGACACACTCTGCTATATGTGGTCTCAGTCACTACTTTGGTGTACTAGACCCTCAAAGCTCAGCAGCTGATACAAAGGAAGTACTTGGGTACACAGCCATAGTCTCAGATCTGCTTCTGACGGCAACTAGAAAGCGAATTTTCTAGTAGATACATTGAAATATGTCCTGTCTTCTGGTGCTCTGAGGGCACCCTTTCTTTTACATCAAAGCCAGCGAGAGATCCAAAGGTTTATTTATTCCTTGGCCTCTCTCTCTGCAGCCTTGAATTGCACCAAATCCAGGCCACCTTAAGGGTGCAGGTAGTGCCACCCCCTGCACTGCCCAGAGGCCTCTGAACAGCTGGGCAGCAGCCACAGACTCTTCATCCTTCAGAGCCCACTTCTGCAGGGAAGTGGGTTGGGGTTGAAAGGGGGCTCAGGCCCTGGGGAACACACCCGTGGGGCATCTGCTCCAGAAGGCTTCTGGTTGAGTTTTATTCACCCGTTTGCCAGGCCCAGAAGGGTTGGTGAAGAATCTTTAACACCGCAGGGTGCCCAGTAGGCTGCAGAATGCAATTCCTTAACAGGAACCCAGAGGCCCAGCTTGGCAGGGTTTCCCTAATGACCCCATATTCTTGGTAGTGGACACGATGTCCTGTATCCTCTGAGGGCCACCTTTCACACTTGGTCAGAACCATGGACCCCAAACTACAGCCTTTGACTCCAAAGCCCCAGCCTGTGAACGAAGTGGGGCCCGGCTACTCTGCCCCTTGGAGGGGAGGGCTTTACCTTAGACCCTAAGCAAGTCAGCCGGAACCTTAAGCTCTGGCAAGGAGTCCAGTGGTTCTAGTCCTCCAGCTCCTGTACCTAGACCACAGAGGGAGGTACATGGTGCCCCCACTGTCCTCTGCATTGGCAGATACCCACTGGTCTGCATAACAGTTATAATCAGGAGCCCACCCCACAGCCTGGGGGGAGGGCACCGACTTCTGCTATGACATCCTAAAATGTTCTATGCGGCATTTCACTAGTCCTGGGGGGAGGACAAGGACCCCCTGTGGCTACCACCTGTCACCCAACCTCTGCCAGATGCCTGAGGTTGCTCATCACTTCTTGCTCCTCCTCAGACCCCTCTTTGGGAATGGGAGGGTTTCGCGCGGGCCCGGGGCTCACCTCGTCTTCCGGCAGCGTGGGGAGCGGTTCAAAGTCGTAGAAGTCTAGGTCCTTGACATCCTCCTCGTAGAAGCCTGCCGCGGCAGGGTCCATGGCCTGCATGGTGCGCGTTCTGTAGGGGCCTGCGGGGCAGGCTGGGTCTCCGGCTGCGTCCGCGTGTCCCTTTAGGTCCCCTCCCCCTGTGTTCTCTCCCCAGCAGGTCCCCTCCCCAGCTGGCCGCCGCCTCTGCTCTCGCCCGGCCGTGCTGGGCACCGCCGGCTACGCGCGCCCGGACGCCATGGCAACGCGCCCGCCGCCTGCCGCAGTGTCGCCCAGCGGCAGCGCTGGGGACGCTTGGGGCGGGGCCAGGGGCGGGGCCCTAAGGGCCCGCGGTCACTTCTGCTGGCGCGGGACGTCTAGGGGCTTAGCGGGCGTTCTAGGTGACGTGGGTCTCATGGGTGCACCGGACGCCGCCTGCTTGGCCCGTGACCATTCGGGGCGGAGCCACTCCAGGGAGCGAGCAGAAACCTGGGTCTGCGCCTACCTGAGTATTGTGAGCCGGGGCTGCCCAGAGAGTATGTGCTACCGCCGTCCTCCTTGGGTTCCCCGTACTCTGCTCCCGGGGTGGGGCTGCTGCAATTCAGATGGCCCCTGCCCACCAGGGACTGGCTAGAGGTCAGGGCTCTGGGCTTTCCTCAGCACTAGAGTGAGTCTTGCTATTAGCTGGAGCTAGTGGTGGGGCGGAGAGCCAGGATGCATCCTGTGCAGCTAGGTAAGGGCCAGTTTGCCTTTTCCCTAGCTCCTCAAAGGGCTCTGCGCATTCCTCTCCACAGAATGAATGGTATGCTCATCACCCAGGCTAGGTCCCCTCACACTGTAGACAGCAGAACTGTGGGTCTGATTTCCAGCTCCCCCATGGGGCTACCCTAGCCCCAGAGCCTAGAAAGACCAGGCACACAGCAGGCACTTAAATATGTTCCTTGCATGAAGGAGACGGGGCTGTGGCAGGTGTGTAAAGTCTGAGGGTGCAGTGTGGGCAGGGATATTAATTCCTAGCGTCCTTGGGGCAGGTGCTGCGGCCCCCAGCCATGCCTGTCTGGTGTAAGGGGCACTGAGGACACTGAAGAAAGCAGACAGCGAGGCCTCAGCGAGAAGCTGTGGGTGTTGGGCAGTGTCCTTTATCCAGTCAGGCAGCCTCACCTTGTTTGAACCCTGGTCCTAAGCTGGGTGCAGTAGTGCATGTTTGCAGCCCCAGGTACTTGGAAGGATTGCTTAAATACAAAAGTTCAAGGCTAGTCAGGGCTTTACGGGGAAATCCTGTCTCAGACAAACAAACAAACATCCAAAGCCAAACAAAACCTGAGTTAAGCCCCATTCTAATTGTCTGAATAAAAAATTGGGCAGCCTCCCCCATCCTTGGGGTGTCTGGGAGCTCTGAGCAAGTAGTTGGGATTGGGGGATGGGGAAGGCATGCTGAACTGGAGTGGGAGAGAAGGCATCTCACAGTGTGTGGCTTTGGCCAGCTGTACAAGCCTGCTGTCTCTGTGGACACCACATGGGGTCTGCAGCAGCCCCAGGCTCAGTCTCAGGAGGGGATACGTGGGAGGCAGATGCTGCTCCAGCCTATGGTTGGGGCCGGAAGAGCACAGTTGTGCCCTGGCCTCAGGTTCCCTTGCTGCAGGGTTGAGAAGCTGCTATCTTTGCTGAGGTGTGAATGTGGCCCTTTTCTGTCCCCAGCTTGTGCTCCCTTGGAACCTGGGCCTCATACAACTACAAAGGGAAGGCCTTGAATTTTGTCAGGTGCTTTTGGGGCCCAGATTTACGGGGAGGGCTGGGGTACTTCCTGGGAAGGACGGAGATAATCCCATGACTTACGCAGCAGTCATGTCACATGTGTTCCAGGGTCTAATAATGACTGTTCACTCCTGAAAAAGTGCTTTGTGATTGGGATTAAAACTGAACACTGGGCTTAATCAGCTTTGGCTGTGGCAGCTGAGAACTACAAAGTGGGCATTTCCCTTATTGGTCAAGTACCACTGCTGCTCCTGTGGAGAGAAGGAGGCATAGTGAGTTGGAGATGGGTCAACGAGGGGCTCCTGGAGGGCCTGGACTGGAGCAATATCATCTCTTCTTTTACCAGCGGGCTGGCTACTTCCCTTGAAAGGTTTGTGATCTTTGGTCTTTCCTGTTCTGTGTGGTGATGTGAAGCCTTTACTGAGCGCATTTATAGCATTTGGTCCAAGCTTTGCTCTAAGGGAAAAGTTGGTCCCACATCTTGGTAGCTTGTGTATTGTAGATGCTCGCTTAACGTTGGGTGAGGACATGGTGCTTGAGATGAGAACAGGCTTGCTCTGGCACTTCCAGTCTTCCCAGAGTTGATGATCCAGCAAGCTGGTTAACTGAATGTCCAAGCGATCTCAAGATGTCCACTCCATGACAGATCATGGAGTGGCCTCTCCGAGTTGACCCCTCAGTGACTCTTCTTGCCCTCTGTGTCCTAAGGCTTCTCCCGGGTGATGTAAGAATTCTACAGAGGCAGCCAATCTGCAGCATCAGCCCCTAGTCAAGGGGTGGCCTTTTTACACTCCCTGGGCCATCTACTCACTCTCCGCTCTCCTGCCTTTCCTGAAAGACCCTCCCCTTTTCCATCAACACTTCTGCCCCTCTGTTCTTCCTGGCCTGAGCTGCCTCCCTGGCAGGGACCTGCCTTCTCCTGACCTTTCTCCTCAAGAAGTGGCTAGGAGTCCAGCCGAGGACACTTTTTGAGATCTTGTTTTGTGTTGGTCACTGGATCCTTGTCACATTTGAATACTGTCAGGATTTGCCTCATTCTTGGGATCCCCATTTCTCTCCTGGATGGGGCTTATGCATCCTTAGAGCATGCAGTAAATCCTCAGTTTGACCAGTCGGGGCACAGAGGCAGGTGGAACGGGTGGCTTCCAGGCCTTGGCTCTTATTTTCTCAAAAAGAATTTTGAAGCCAGGTGTGGTGGCACATGCCTGTAATCCCAGCACTTTGGGAGGCTGAGGCAGGAGGATTGTTGCAAGTTTGAGACCAGCCTGGGCTACAAAGTGAGCTCCAGGCCAGCCTACACTGCATAGCAAGACCCTGTCTCAAAAAAAATCTTTTTGACAAGGTGTCAAACCAGTTGTACATTTGGAATTTGACGTTTAAATTTTTTAAAATTAAAATGTAAATAATTACAAAGAATGTAATTTTTGGTGTGCTTTAAACATTGATGTTTTGAAATAAAACTGTTAGTCATTCTTGTTAATGTGTCTGTGAAGTTAAACATCAGAGTGGTTCTGATATCAATCATTCAAAAATTCATGAGTACATTTTTTCTGAGTCAGAAATCTCTTTAGGCTCACTTTAGGTACCTAGTTTTGTTTAGAATTTCATCCCACCATGTGATGTGTTTTTATTTCTGAAAGTGTCTATTGACCCCTGCATCACACTCTACATACACATGTAAATTTTAATAAATTGAATATTTAATAATTTAAAAATTTTATACTTTTCTTGGTTTTTATAACCAAGGCTTGACTTACAGGACAGAAGTAAATGACAAAGTAGCTGATGATGCTTTTGAGAAGTCGGCACTGACAAACATGGAGGGTGGACACCTGCTCCTGCTGCTTGGCAGCTGTGAGTTGCCCTTGTTCTTTGGTCTGTGCACATGTGCACTAGGCTTCCCTTGTCATGATGGCTTTTGTTATAGGGGCACTGGGGGCAGCTGGGGAATCAGAGAAGCCCCTACCCCGAGTAGGTGCTTGCAATTTCTGTCTCCGAAAGAAGCTCACCGTGGCCTCACTATCTGTTAGCCCTTTGATGTCTGAGTACCACTTACCAGCACACCCAGGCTGCTGCGGTTCCTTCCTGTTGACCTGCTGGAAGAAGCTGGCAACCAGACACACGTGTAGCTCAACCCAGACTGAGGCTTGGGGTACCTGTGAGGGTACCTGTGAGGTTTTCCTCACCAGCACACATTCTCCTGAGATGTATGCATGCTGGCCTCACCCAAGCTTCTGGCCCGTGTGCCCTGTGCCTTCCCCAGCTGGCTGTGAGGCATCTAGAAGTGCTCAGTGATCAAGTGCATAGGGAGATGAGATCACAAAAGAACACGTGTCTCTTACTCTGCTGCCCCTGGAAACATGCCCAGAGTGGGGACACCTCAAAAAGCTCGGGACAATTTCTCACACCTGGAGAGCTCTGGAAGCCCAGTCTCCCCATTTGAGAATCTGGGTGGGAAACTACCCATGAAGTTGAGGCTGGACCCAGTGAGGAAGGGGAAAATCCGGCCTTAGTAGTCTAGTCCAAAAGCTGTATCTCTTCCAACACATGTGAATGCACACACACGCACACACACACACACACACACACACACACATGCTCATGTATAAGCACTCTCTGTATGATTCTGCTTTTCATAGTTTTCCCTCCTAAGTTTATGTCATTACTATAATTTAGCTTTACCCCTTTTTCTTTGGCTATTTTTATACCTTGTAATTATACAGTATCTTTTTTTTGGTGTGGCTTTTATCATGCTTTTGAGATTCAGCCACGTTGTGTTGGCAGAGGTAGTTTGTTAGTTATTGTTACTGAGCCATGCTCAATTATTTGAACATGCTGCAGTGTGTGTTCTCTTCCCACAGTTGTTGGTGATTTCTAAATTTGACATAGTATGAACATAGATATTGGGGATGTATTTGGTTCAAGTTCCTCATTGCACATATGCACATGCTTTTCCTGGGTCCATATTTATGAGTGGAATTGCTGAGTCATTATGCAACTGTCAAATTTTATAATTTTCCCCAGGTGGATGTCTGATACATCAGATGCCATTTATTGAAGACATTTCTTTATCCACGAGCTTGTCATATCAACTGTCATCTAATCAAGTGTGCACCCATGTATTTCTGTGTCCTCTCACTGTTCTTTTCCATTGGTCTTTTCCTGTCTTACAGCGCTGTCAGTTTGTCTTGACAAATGCACTGATGTCCACCTACTAAGTTTCCTTGTCTCCTCCTTTTATGTACAAGGTTATCTCTAATGCTCTTGGTTTTTCATTATTTCTGTATAAATTTTAGAATTGGCTTATTGTGTGCCTTAGGGATGTGGTTAGGATTTGGTTAGGATTTCACTAAGTTCACTCATCCACAAATCTTTGTAAGAAGAGTTTCTCTAGTCCATGAACATGTATGCTCCTGTTCTCTTTATGTCTTCTTGATAATGTTTTATAGCTTTCTGTGAAGGGATTTTGTGCATCTTGTATTATATTTACCATACTATTTCATGGTGTTATGATAAATTATATAATTTAGAAAACATTATTTTCTATTTAGTGTTAGACTATAGGCATAAAAAGATTTTTGTATGATGACATTGTATTTAGCCA